ATTACTAAAACCTATATGCGATTCGCCGTTAAAATACATACATCGTAATAACGGGGAAGATATTACCGTAAATTTCTCAGATTTAGATGATAATTGTGAGTTTGTACGCCAAATTTTTCAGATCAGTCCTTGACCCAGATCCCGAATAATACTGTATCTTAACTGTATACATGCGTGATACAATAAACACGTTTTGCGATTCTAGTTAAAGTGTATATAATGTAATAGGTGATACTCTGCAAATTATCTGTAACTCTGTAATACTGCTTGTGCGATAAATTGATTTTCACACATAAATCGATTCCCAAAATATTTCGAATTTTTTTCCTATCTATCTGAATAGCATTTATTTATGAGTTTATTTCCTCCGATGCTAGAGGCTATTTCTACTAGATTTTGACCAGAGTGTATTTGTATAAACTAGGCCTTTATTACTGAGCGGTCAAGCAAGTGAAATAAAAAAAAAAGTATGTATATGCATATTCCCTAACGCCTTTGCAATGTTGAGATCTACAATGCACATTCCGCATGTCTTATTCTCTAACACAAAAGTTTGGCGTAAAGTGCCTCACATATTTCTCCTATCTCTTCCCCAAATATTGAATGCAAATTAAGAGAGACGTGAAATGGAATCATTTAAAAGGGCAAGTATACGAAATTTTAGTTCGGATCGCTAAGATATTTTATTGGACTACTGACGAATTTTTATTATGACAAATTTAGTAACTAAGATTGAAATTCTTTTGTTAGAAGGGCCTTTTGACGCTATATATTCTGCTACTATTATATATCATGCAATGAACAAAAATAATTTACCTCCGTATGAACACGTTAGAGGGATAGTAGAACGAGCGGTTAGATCATCGTTAACAAAGATAGAAGATGCTGAATGAAAATTAAAGGTTTTGGAGATTTTACCAGAGGTTAGTAATAATAGATGAATTTATGATATGTAAACTGCTTTGACTGATGAAACTACAATAGCTATAACGGACATAGTTTTGGTATGTTATTGCTGAAGGTCAGGGGATGCTGGTCCGGAAGAGCGATGTTGTTAGGAAATTCCTTCAGATGTCGAGGATTTCTGCTACCCCTGGCTGTGCGTGACTATTTTTGCCATTGATTAAAATATCTGATAATGCACGTGCAAAATATTATTCGCATCTATTACATTTACGTGATTACTAATATATACTGGTATTTGATATAAACCTGTCGTAGATGGAAAGCGAATACAAAAGTGTTATAGGATTAAACACAATAAAGGTGCTGAATATGGTATGGGATATTATAATATTAGAACATGTTTCACACAGACTAATCGGCTTTTAGAAAAAAGATTCGACACCTGATAATACAAGAGAAAAAATAGGACGGAATATTGATTTATTAAAAGAAAAGCTTAATGTATGTATCATACTATTTTATTATCATTCTTATATACTTCGGAGCTTATAAAATGCTTTGTTTTAATAGCATCCAATGATAGAAGATGATGTATCTCTCTACAACGCTCTTAAGAAAAAGGTTAATAACATCAACATCTCACAACTTACATGGCGAGATCCGGAGGCGAGTATGATTCTTAGCGATAATTCAGAAATGATAAATACTTTAAAGCGCAGGTAGAAGCGTGTCTTTATGGTAAGAAATTATTGTATATTCGATATAATTATGTCCAGTGATGGGAAAAAATATTCAAGAATAATCTTTCCTAGCTAGTCATGCCTAACTGATCCGCAAGAAAGTGTCTGAGCGAATTTTCCCAACACTGATTATGTCAACTCAATTTTTCCCAAACTAGGAACCGTGTGAGAAAATGAAATGTGATCTTCCCATTTCAGTTATGGCTAAGTGTAATTCGTTTGTTGAGAATTTCAACGAATCAGTTATTTTAAGGACGACTGGAAATATTTTACATGATAAATCTTGGAAAGAGAATGAATTTGATCTAATAAAAGTTGCAGAACATATTTTAGTTGTGCTGTAAGTACTTTCACCATTTTTTTGTGTAAATAATCATAATATTTCCAACATATCCTTTTTTACTAGTGGCGAGATATGGAGTAATTCGGCATTTGCTACAAGTAAAGCTCCGAACGGTTTGGATTAATCCGAAAATTTTCGGTTCAGATTAACTTCGGTTCAGTTTCGGATTGCAAAAATTTCAATCCGAAAATTTTCGGTTCGGTTCAGATTTTTTTCAGACTATAAATCTAATCCGAACCGAAAAAAATCTGAACTGAACTGAAAATTTCGGATTAATCTGAAATTTCGGATCGTTTGAAACGATGAAATTATCGTTCCAAACGAACGATAAAAGAATCGTTCATTTGGAACGATTGAAGTTATCATTCCAAACGAACGATAAAAAAATCGTTCATTTGGAATAATTGAAGTTATCGTTCCAAACGAACGATAAAAAAATCGTTCATTTGGAATGATTAAAGTTATTGTTTCAAATGAACAATAAGAAAATCGTTCGT